CCTATTTGGGTGGTGTGATGCTTTGATTAGTTGAGATCAAAATTATCAATATCATACGAGATTCAAAAATATGATTTTTAGATATTACAAATTAAGTTAAGCCTCCATCTTATTCCTCTCTTCGCACCAAAAAGTTTGATTTTTGGTCTTTCGTTTTTTATAGATTGGTTTTCTCGAATCCATCTTCTTTCTGGGTTTGTAAGTAGCTCTAGTTTCTCAAATTCATCTGTGATCTTTATTTGGGTTTCTACTTTGGGATTTTGAAGGTGAAAAAGATTTGGATTAAATGATGGTGGAACACCAAATCAAATGCATATATTAGGGTATCCTTTTATTTATTTGCATCCGATGGATTTCTAGATTTCAATCGCCAAATTTATTGCAGCGTCGACCCTAATTACGTTAAGTATCGTTTGAAGCTTGCTATTTGTAAACTCCCTAGGTCATTTGCGAGGGTAGTGGTGAAAATCAAGTTGGAGATTTCATATTCAAATATGGGTTTCATCGTAAAAAAACCAAGGGGAACAATTTTTTTTTGTTTGTTTGTTGGAGAATCTTAACGCCGCTTTCATATTCAGATCGGAGGTTACAAACAATGGAATCAGAGAGGAGGAGCGGTACTTGGTGTGGAGGGTGATGATAGGAGTGACCCTTAAAAATATATATGAATATTTAAAAATCTAATTTAAAATGTCATATCATTAATGTCACATGCTCTTCCTTCTGGTACCTGGTCATATAATGATGTAAATAAAAGGTAAATTGATACTTTAGTAATTTATTGTGCACAAAAAAACTTGAGTGGTTAAATGTGTAAATTTATCAAATTTTGTTGTGCTACAGTAACAATTTTCCTAGTGGCAGATACATAAATTATATTGGCAGTGGCATAATTTTTCTTTCATCCAAATATAATAACATAATTTTTTTAAAAGGTACCAGTTATTAAGTATACCGTGTTTTTTTTTTGGACTAGTGACAATTATCTTTAAACCTGTTTGTCACGAGATGACTCAATCACTATGTGCCACTTACTGTTTCTTCGACTAAGTCAGGCTTTGGAACACTTCCTTACAATATATTAACGACTAGGATAGCAAGATATGCAATAAGGAATGCTATGAAGAAAAAAGAAAACTTTTATTATAGACTCAACTATTTTACTAGGTAACGTCCCAATGGTTTGCGCAAATGAGTCATTCTCCCTATTTATAGGAACCTTACACCACCTCAAATAGAAGTTTCTAGGTCTCGATAATTTTCGACTAATCTAGACTCTTCCTATTATATACATGACCTTTACAAGACTCTAGAATATGGTATACTTGTCTACAATGCTCTAGAAATCTCTAGGTCGTCCTGACATTATCCAAATCGCTCTGGTATGATCTAACATGTTCTAGATCGTTCCAAACTCTTCCAGATCGTTCTAGCTTCGTCTAGTGCCTTCGTGATTATTCCGGATCGTTCTCCTTTGTTCCACAGACATCTGTAATATTCTAGCATCTTCCAGGGTCCCGTAGAGCATTCTTGATCTCTCTGGAGACTCCTTGAGTATACTTGATTGTTCCGGAGTTCTCTAGACGATGTTGGAATTTTCCAAAAACTTGGTGGGTGATATGTTATATATATATATATATATATATATATATATATATATATATATATATATATATATATATATAGAGAGAGAGAGAGAGAGAGAGAGAGAGTCAAGATCAAAAAAAAATGAAATTTTTGGTAGGAAGGTAAAAAGTTTTTTTTCTGCATAATTTTTTTCACGAACAAACAAAATGAATTATTAGATGATTCATTTGTAAGATTATTCACAAGAAAAAATTCTCAAAAAAACATCTCGATGATTCATTTATATAATGATTTTGTTGTTATTCACTAAAATTGTCATAAAAGTGATTTTTTTCTTAATTTACTTAAAAATGAATCATAAAGATGTTTTTTTGAGAATTTTTTCTTGTGAATCATCTTACAAATGAATCATCTAATGATTCATTTTTTTGTTCGTAAAAAAAATATGTAGAAAAAAAACTTCTTACATTCCTACAAAAAAAAAAAATTCTTACCGGATATATATATATATATATATATATATATATATATATATATAGACACACACATAAACACACGCTAACGAGCTAAATCGGAGCAGTGGCCTCAGACCCCAAATGTCTCATACATGTCCGCCACTGAATTTCCCTAATCTTTACCTGTCCGCAAACATAGGATTAGGAGGTCAAGCATATATTTCTCTAAAAACCAAAAACCGCCTATAACTACATTAATCTTAAGTACACCTTGGTATATTTTTCACTACTAGTTTTTGGAATTTTGTTTGTTAGGTATAATTGCACATGCACAATGTATATCTACCCGAAATTGTAATGCTTTTCGCTATCAAATGTCAATTTAACAATGTACCACCTCTCCCGGAATGTGATGCTTGGTTATACAGTTTCGGTATTGGGTACAAGTGTTCATGCATTTGGTACATACCATGATGCTAGTCGGGTCCAATATTTGTGAACCTAGTTCTACAAATTTCTACATCAAGAGGAATCAACAAATGCAATGATGCACACATCTATAAAGAGGTGAAGATATGCCAGATCTGTGGTTAGAAACCTCTGTGACCACTGGTAGCAATTTTGACCTTCTTTTGGTTTGGGGTCTTAGTGTAATGATACCAGCCCTACAAAATGTGGTTACATTCTTTGAGGAATCAAATCATCGAGCAAAGAGTTGACCTTACTGTTCATTAAATTGAATTACTATGTCGAAATGTGAGTTTATTAAGTAAAAAAGTGACTACATAGACAAACTTTTTAAAATTAGATTTTATAACGAGCATCCGATATGTTTATATCTTTCATACAAACAAAAGACGTCTTTCTGCCATTTATCCATATTTTTGGAGATGATAAAAATTGCAGTTTTTATCGGCACTTAAAAAAATCCTGAATTCTAACATAAATATTGAGATATTCTACCGAAATAATAAGTAATTTGAAGAAAAAAAAACACCTGAATATTTAAGAGGGAACGAGCAAAAACGTAAAAATCTAATAAATTAGGGAAATAGAGCCTTAAATGATGGATCTTGGGTCTGATGGTGGGCCAAATTGGCGTAGTATTTTGCTGTTGACTAGTTGTATAGTCATGTAATTAGATTCAAAAGTTGTGATTATTTAAAATTGACCTGCTCTTCTCACTCCTTTATACATAAATAAGTTAATTCTTATATTTTGTCTATCGCTAACAAAATCCTCTTTGTTTTAATTTATGGATGAAAATAACTTTAAATGGACTTGAACCACATGTTCTCTTTGAGGGGGGAGGGCATATTTCTTTACAATCATGATATATAACCACATGGTCTCTTTCACAGTGGTTTGCAGCTAATTTAAACTGAACCACCACATGTTTTGACACCCTAAAAACGAAAGCACTTTTAAATAATGGCTAGTGCCCTATATGTATGATTGAGGTAGCATGATACATAATTGTTTGGAAAAACGTAAAAAAAAAAAAAAAAAAACAGATAAAATCAAACACTTATCACCTTCTCAGGTACCGGATCGGGTCAAGATCCACGTGGGTCACAAATTCCATTCATTCAAGTGATATAGGGGACAAGAAAACCAAAACCATGTCACTCAAAGAATGACGAAATGGAAGAAAGAACGTTTAAAAATAATTGACAACCACCGCCCACTTTCCTTTTTCCCTTCATTTCTTTCCACTTACTTCATTTATTATTATGATTTGGGAATTGGGATTCCTCAAGTCAACTATCCTCAAACAGCCAAACCCAAAGATGCCTCATTTCTATACTATATATAAGTCCGTAAAACCCATCACTACCAATCATCACCACCATCACCAAATGTAACAAAACGATCACAGTTTTTATCGACTTTTAATCACAGATCTTAGAAACTAGTGATCCAGAAATGGATAGTGAAGACACCACATCAGCACCATCGACCCCAGCCACACCAGGGACACCAGGTGCACCACTCTTCAGTGGGTTCAGACCAGATCATAGGAACCACGGACCCAATGCCTTGAAGAAATCACTTCTCAATAGCTTCAAATGTTTCAGCGTTGAAACTCTGGCCAAAGAAGAAGGCACTCTACCTACTGTCACTTGTTACTTACCCCCTCCCCCTATCTCACTAGCAAGAAAGGTTCTTAATTTCCCTTGTATGTTTCATAATCAAATGAATCACATTTGTTTGTTTAAGGTTTAAATTAATATTGTTATACAATTACAGGTTGGAGCCGAGTTCATAGGAACCATGATACTGATATTTGCGGGAACGGCTACAGCCATAGTGAACCAAAAGACACCAGGGTCCGAGACCCTGATCGGGTTAGCCGGTTCATCCGGGCTCGCTGTTATGATCGTTATACTATCGACAGGTCATATCTCAGGAGCCCACTTGAACCCATCCATCACCATAGCTTTTGCTGCCCTCAAGCATTTTCCATGGAAGCATGTAATTAATTACACCTCTAATTAATTAATTAATTAATCCCGTAAAACTAACTATGGTTAAATTTAAACTGGTGGTAGGTGCCGGTGTACATAGGGGCACAGATGCTGGCGTCGATATGTGCAGCATTTACACTGAAAGCGGTGTTTGATCCAATGATGGGTGGGGGTGTGACTGTTCCTTCAGTTAAGTATGGACAAGCGTATGCTTTAGAGTTCATAATTGCGTTTAATCTCATGTTTGTGGTCACGGCTGTTGCTACCGACACTCGAGCTGTAAGAGCCTTTCAATTTCATTCTATTCTTTTCTTCTTTTTTGCTTATGGCTACAAATTCATGCATTTAATTTCTATCGACATATTCAATTCAATTATTGTAATATAATGAATGCTAGATCCAAGACAAAGGAGGGATTCGTGAGTTAATGATGAAAGTTAAAAAACTGTTCTAGTGAACTTGAAAGTCATGATGACTAGACAAATGTTTATTTTTATATTAATATTGGTGATGACAAATTTGGACTGTTCCTCGTCATGTGGATTTGGAGTGAAAGTTTCTTATTATAAAGATCACATGTACTTCAAATTTAATTAATTTTTAATTTGAAAAGTATCCCCAAAGTCAAGTGTAGATATTTTTGGTTTCCTTATTCAATTATTTACATATATTTATTATTTTATATTAATATGAAATTGGCTATGGAAATTTTACATATACATGAACATAAACAAACTTTGCAATTATTCAAATAACTGTAACTTGATTTTTATTTCACCACAGGTTGGCGAGCTGGCGGGAATAGCTGTGGGAGCAACTGTCATGCTTAATATTCTTATAGCTGGGTACGTATAAATTGAATCTTCTTAATATTGTGATAACTGGATATGTTGATAGAAGATTTCTTTTTTCTTTTTTCTTTTAAGAAAAAAAAAAGGTAAACCCTCTTTGTTCACATTTTCCCTTTGTTGAAATGACATAGGCCACTTACAGGAGCATCAATGAATCCAGCAAGAACTTTAGGACCAGCAATGGCTGCAAACAACTACAAAGGCATCTGGATCTACCTTACAGCTCCCTTCCTTGGCGCACTAGCTGGTGCAGGTATTTACACAGCAGTGAAACTGCCTGAGGAAGATGGTGATGATCATCATCATGATCCTAATAAGCCTCAAGGACATAGCTTTAGAAGATAATCCACAACAACACATCACATGTAAAACCACCACCACCACCATGCCTACACTGATAAGACCAGATAATCCATTATACCCCAACAGTGGGTCAACGGAGATCTGATTATGGGTACATATTTAATTATTGATCGTTGTATCTTGAGTCTTCTTGACAATGGCATAAATTAATGATAGAACTTATTGCATGTTTTGCTCACTTCCTGTTGAATGATGTAAAGGCTACTATTGTTTCTGTTTGAGTGCCATTTTAGAAGGCAAAAAGTTAAATATTTAACAGCCATGAAATGTGTAACTATCGTTGAAAAAAGTAGAGGTCTACAAACATAGTAAATGGCCACTAAGATGCCTATATTATAAGGACACTACGAGACATGCTATATTAAGTGTATTAAAGGGCACCATTGAAGATGAATGTAAAGATGCTTACTAGCGAGTGCAAAAGATACCTAGTCCCATAGCAGCTAGAGGTGCCAAATTGGCCATTTTGAACCATTCCACATGAATTACATATCATTAATAAAGCATACTAAATTGGCCTATGAGCCTATTAGACTTTCAATTTCTTGCCTATTGTTTATGTCCTTTATTTACCCATCGTTAACTTCTATTTAGGAAAATGAAGTTCCACTATGGTCCAATTTTTGCTATTAGGTTTCGGAAATTGATAGAAATTTCGTATCTTCGTCTTAGCGAATCTGAAGTAGTCAGAAAAATAAGAGGCCATACGTCCACAAGCCATTCTGGCACATATAAAGAGGGAGATAGTGGAAGAAGAATCTGATCAAATTGCTCCCAATCTTGTATCAACAACTCGTGACATAACAATATTCGTGATCAAACTGTAAAACAATGCAACATACCAGATTTTTTGGGTTTTATGCAAGCTATGTGTAGTCTTGATCGAGTGATCTGATTAATTAAATGTAAAAGTAGTTCAATCGAGAAGATGTCTTCGTAACTTGTTGATCTTTGATCTAAAGGATGAATTTTGAACAAATTTGACGCATTTTTTGGCCGACAACTAAAAAAGATTTGTCCTGCATTAGAAAATGACAACCCACTTTTGTGATCATATTTAGACAGTAACAAAATTTGAATTAAGAATATCAGCCAAGAAATTGACAAAGTGACAGCGCATTATCTAAAAATAAAACACACAAAAAGATGGTGTTTCTTATAGCTCGTTATGTCAACTGTTATGGCAGCCCAATAGGCTTAATTTCGGACCATATAGAAATAGTTCATGTTAAACGCAGCCACAGTGAATTCGAAATATATGTCCTTTTTTTTGTGTGTGTTTGATTTATAGGCGTCACAAAATAAACAAAGAATCAGCCACATATCGGACCAATCTAGCAACCCAAAAAATGAGTTAAATGGCTGCCCAAACCTCAGCCCCCACGGCCCAAGTGGCAGTTTGTAAACAACATTAATTTTGTTTGGAAAGTGGAAACCTGAGCTCACAAGTCACAAGTCATAACCCATTTTTTTAAAAGAGAAAACGGTTTATGTTTAGGATTTCATTTTGAAGTTAATAAAGACTTTTATCTAAAAAATGCTTATTGACTTATCAATGTGGAAAAAAATAATGTTTTAAAAAAGCGTTTGATTAGTTTTTTAGTGATAAAAATCAATAAGTTCAAAAGTGTATGGCTAACTTATTGATTTTTGCTTATTTTTTATTCTAATAAGTTATAAGTCATTCCAAGAAGTCACAAATTGTAAGTTTTTCATAACTTTTTTTCCAAGGCTAAACCAAAAGTTGTTTCAAAAGTCCTTATTAAGTATTCAAACACTTTTTTTAACTTGTTGACTTTTCAAGAAATCAATAAGTTGAAAATGAGTTTTTAGATGAAATCTCAAACCCCCTCTAACTATTGGCAAGTTAACTTATCAAAACTAACAACGTTGGTCTTTGGTCTGATAAATCTAACTATTGGCAAGTTAAATTTTATAACCCGATTATTTTGTCCTTATGTTATTTTTGTCTATTATTTTACATAAATAACTAGGTTAAAACCCATGGAATCTATGGATGTTAATTTTAAATAGAATTAAAAAATCCATTATGTAATAAAATAATATATCATTAATTTAGAAAACTTATGAATTGTATTGTATTTTTTTATTAACTTTATAATTTGTAAGTATTTAATAAGTATGTAAGTCCAACTATTTGATAAAAGTCATGGTTTGTATAATACAACATATATTTGAGTAAAGAGAAATAAACACAAAAAATCATTAAAATTGAATTGCTATAAAACAAACAAAACATTTCAGTAATGTAATTAACATAAAATAAATACAATACATATTTATAGATAAATTAATTAATATGATGGATGAAGAGTGGTTTATGACTAAAAGTATGTTAACCTTAATTGATATAGTATTGATAAAATAAAATATAAACAAATAAAATTTATATTACACACAATTAATATTTGTAAGATGTAAACCCAAGACAATAAATATAATTTATTATTATTATTATTATTATTATTATTATTATTATTATTATTAAAGTAGAAATTAGTTAATTATTTATAGAATTTGACAACACATGATATGATTTTTAACATGAAATAAATATTAATTTTAAAAAACATTGATACAAAATAAAAAGTTCATAAATTTTTGTTAAAAAATCAATTTAAATGTAGTAGTAATTTGTAAATTTGTAGTATTATGTTGCTTAGTACGTTTCAAGAATTGCATCTCCTAAACAACATACCTAAATTCCACTAAATGGGTCGATCCTAAACTACATTCCCTAACTATATGGATGAATCCTCCATTTACTCTATCCAACAATCCTTTGTCCTAATTGATCCCTATTTGACCGAGTTTCATAGTCGAATGATTATGAACGAATCATACCGACGGTCTGGAATCTCCGACGGTGATCTTCCGATGAGTTTCAGAGTTCAGACACTGTTAGTCTTTTGCGGTTGTGCAAGGGCCTCTCATCGGTCTTGCATCTGGAAATAAGAAATTACGTTTAGTCGTTTGGGTTTCCAGTTGATTGCAATAGGACGTCAGTTGATGTTAAGTTTCCGGCACCCTATTGAGTTCGTTAGAAAGATGACGAGGTATGGGCTCGCAGATCCAGTAAACAAAAAATAGTATTTTGATTACTCGAGGATTCAACATACGATTGATATTGAGGTAAGCCTTTACACTATCAAATAGTTAGTGTTCAATATATTATACTAATTCTTATGAACTTGACACAAAAATAGCAACACATATTCTCAATATTCATTGAATAAACGACAATGAAAGAACCAGTAACACATTCAATTTATACACGTTACATGGACCATTTTTGTAATTAATATAGCTATTTTGAGAAAAATGTACATATATACAATTATAGTTTAACGGGAACCATCTTTTTTAGAATTTATACTTTACAATGAGCATTTATAGGGGCCATTTATGTATTCAATAATCCTTCTTGTTATATGAATATGTAGTTATTTGATGCCTTTCAAAAAAGCATAGGAAGACAACCAAATATGACAAAATCCTGAAAAAGACAATAATGCCCTTTAGTTTAGTTTTACATCAAAACTTGAAATAATCACATCGAATTCTGCTATCCCTTGCTTGTAAAAGTCATGATAATTCATACATACTTGAATAAACCTATCACAATTGACAATAATTATAAAAAAGACCAATTTTCCCTTTGATGTTTTTACAAATGCCATCATAACCCAAATGAATATTGTTGTAATTATCATGAAAAATACCATAAAAACCTGTAGAAATTTTATTGTATCCATCAAAAACCAGAAAAATGAGAACAATACCCTTTTAAAAATTTACTACATTGATGATTGATTCTTAAAAAAAATTACAACAATCATTTATTTCCTTACAACAATGATATCGAGTATTTAAAAAATTACAATATACATTTCTCATTTGATGCTATCTCTTCTGTATAACACGTACATGTATGGATAATATCTCATCATGGTAGAGAGTGTTGCTTTTGTTTTTTTATAAGTAAATAAACATATAAATACAAAATATAATTCAAATAAGTAGATTCAAATTACATGAATTTGGTTATAGTTCAAAAAAAGAATGAAAAATAGCAGGACATTATAAGAATTTCCACATTTGCCTGTGCTTATGTACAAAAGCTTAACTCAACTCAACTAATAATAATTGTTGAATTGGAAAAAAAAATTTGAATTATACCTTTGTTTATTGGATTTGTTGCGGTAGAAAACAAACGGTGAGGAAGAAAAGCTCACTTACCAGCGGCTGAGCTGCAACAGTTGGAACATCCTTTGCCCCCAAACCGGGTCACAAACTCCTCCCCAAAGCTTCTTAGATTCTTCAAGACTCTCACCGATTCGAGTATGGATCATGTGCTTTCAGTAGTATAGGCCCAATACTACCTTCCACACTTATCCATACTTTCCTCAACAATCCTCCCAAATCCTCCAAGTCACTTCCTCAAATTGATGCACCCAAATCTCATTAAACCTCACTACTAACACACTGATACATATCCTAGGCTTTCCTAGGTTCCTGAACCCACCTATTCCTCAGCTGGTGAAAGATTTCCAGTAATGTCAACTAGCTACCTTATGAATATAGCCACATGCAACAGAGATCAGATAATCCTTCGAGTAAAAGACTCATTCCTAGAACGGTTAGACTCAAACGAGATTTGCACAATAGGGTCAAGTCCATCATTCTGAGATTATCTGGCATGTGTCCCATGTGACTTAGCATATTCACTTAGTAACTAACTCGCCTAACTAAGAGTCCCACAAAGCACAAAGCAAGCAACATTCAAACAATAGAAAATCTAACCAACATACTCCAATAAAGCCATTATATCCTCTAATCAGGAATTTGTACTGGCATGAGATTCTAAAGCTCATACAATCAGGCATAACCTAAACAGCCATCCTGTCACTGAATGATCCGTACTAGCATGCAGGTCTACAAGCACATACAATGTAACATCCAGAAATAAAAGGTATGACATGAACCCCCCTTTAAATTAGAGTTGTTGCATTATTAATCCCTTAGTACGTTGGGCGTACTTAGGAGTACGCTTAGCATACTAGGACCTTTTATGGTCGCGGATGTTTGGAGGTACGCTGGGCCTACCATGGTTTACACGGGGCGTACGCGCCAGGGACTAGAAAACCCTAATTTCGGACTTAAGGCCTATATAAACGACTTTAAGCCCTTGGGACTAAACCCTGGAGAGCCTCCAATGCCCTTGAACGTCATTTCACTGCTGGAAACCTTGAGAAATCATTTGTGAGCTCTAAAAGTGTGCTTTTGTGATCTTTAGTGTTCATTTCAAAGAGAATAGTTGGTCAAGCAAGCTTAGATCAAGAGGAAGCTTCAAGATCTTGCATCATAATCATCTTTCAGAGCTCTTAGAGGTAAAAAGCTTGCACCTTTCCTCTTTGCTCTTTAGATCTAGCTAGGGTTTTTGTAGTTGGTCCTTTTGATGGATTTTAGGCCTCATTTGTTGGCTAGATCGTCCCCATTCGATAATAAGGTCAGGTCTAAGGTCCTTAAGCCATTTAAGTGTTGGGTTATGAGCATTCTAACACTCCTAAGTGTACATGCAACCCTAAATACCTTGGATCTATGTTTTCTCTATTATACATGCAAATATGAACATCCAAGGTATTATCCTAATCTAGCATACAAAAATATCAATATAACAAGATAGAATACATACCTCTTTAATGGTGGTTGTCTTCATGAAGCTTGAGTGCTTAGTGCCCCAAGTGTGACACCTCAAATGGTTCACACAACACCATAAGCACTTGGAATAACTTAGAGAGAAATTAGAACACTTCATGAAATCGTGTAGCCCTCATACATACACATAGTGTTAGTCACGATTTCTTGAGCCATGGGTTTCTTTTATATGGTGGCTATTAGGGTTACACCATGTAACTCATGACTTTACCCATTCCTTATGCTCCATGGATTTTAACCTCCATG